CTCTCTCTCTCTCTCTCTCTCTCTCTCTCTCTCTCTCACATCTCCAGTCTGCTTCCCTCTTATCGTGTGATCTTGCATGTGCCTTCTGAATTTTCTTCATATGCATGCAGTCTCTTGTTTGCGTATGCGATACGTGTATGTGCTGTGTGTGTGTGTGTTGGTGGTACACTCTTCCCCACTGACGTTTTTACTCGTACTGTTGATAATGCGTTTGGAATTACCTGTGCCCATAGTGTGATGTTACAATATTTAAAAATTCTGCAAAAAGTGTGCATTTGTTTTTTTTTAATGTTCAGCATAATATTATGTTACACACAATATATTTTGATGTCAAAATATTTAAGTTTCAGAAGGTTTAGTAAGCATTTTTAACTACCTGGTTACTTCCTTATGCAATACAATAGCATCTATTAAAACCTTATTTCCCCCCCACTTAATATAAGAACATCTGCACACTAGAGTGTTTGTTTGTAGCCTCTTGCCGGTAGCTGTAGCTTCTGCTTACATTACATCATTTACATATCACAAGCCTTTCTATGTGACTGTCACAGAGACGTTGTATTAAAAGTCATTTTCCTGTCTCCCTGTTTGTGGGTTTTGGTTCTCACTGTGTGTGCTGTCTCTGTGGTGATACTTTGTTGACTTGTCTGCCTTGGTTATTTTTGTTGTTATTGTCTTGTATGTCTCCATCATAGGTAAAATGCAAGATGGCAATATGGAGAGCAACCAGATTAAAGGTAACCAAACCATATCTTTCACTCTATCCTGCCCTGCTTTCACTCTTCCTCGTTCTCCTCCTCCCCTCTCTTCTTCTTCTTCTTCTTCTCCTTCTCCTCATTGTTTCCCTTCTATCAAGTGTGGTGTAAGCTCTGGGTCAAATGCAGGAGGGAAATCCCACATTGCTTTATTTGATCCAGCTGTCTCAAGTTATTGTACAGTGCTAATTTAGATTCCAAGGTTTACCACTGTTTAAGTAAATCCCAGAGAATGTCAGTGTTTGACCCAGGTCTTACCTACGTTCAAATAGAGTAGAAAATCCCTCCTCTTCACTCTGTCTGTCACTAATGTGTTGTCCCTTGTCTATTGTTCTGTTGTTGTTCTTGCTGTGTTGTTGACTTGTCCTGATCTCTACGAGAAAACAGAAACCTGTCCCTCAACTACTGTATCCTGCTTGCTTTGTTTTTCCCTTTCCTCCAAAAACGCTGAAAACTGTCCTCTGAGAACTCATGTTATGTACCACACCCTGGTTTCCCCTTTTCACTGTTTCGTGAAATTTTCCCAACACGATATGACGTCAATTGTCTGTAGCTAAAGGTATACGGTGACGTTGATGATCACTACAATAACGTTAATCTTTCTATCAATCTAATTATTTTTTTAAATGAAAAATGCTCATCCCAGGTTACCAAACAGGTGCCTTCAAATGTCTTAAATGTGTCTGATAAAATATATATATAAAAAACAGAATTCATTATTTAATTAATTAAAGATACATTTTCTTTGATTGCACAAGTGAAAGGACAAATCTTTCTGTCATTTAAAAATGAGAACTTGGAAATTTTTGTCATATTCACCACTCCTTTTCATTTAAATAAATGAGTCACTATGAATTAAGTCACTATCTGTGAAGGAGGTAACACAATGGTGATTGAGCCTATGGCCCATGAAATGATTGCAATATTTCTATATTTGCAGTATTAATAAAAACTGGGTGACTGTGATGACATTCCTGGAAAGAAAATATTAGTATCCACGCAAAAAATGAAACTGTGCACAAAATTCTGAAAACGTGAAGCTCATCATCAACAAAGAGACCCCACACTGCTAAACTCTAAACACAATTGCATTATTTTCACTTAAATAGAAATTCTAAATCTTCCGGGACTGGAAAAGCATGGTGAGATGGACTAAGAGACACAAGCTAAGCAAGTCAGTGTCAAAAGGGTAAATGAAGACTCTTGACACCTTCATACTATGATCACAGTGTACGATACATCAGCATCAGAAGATGAACCTGAGCTTGTATTAACATCAGGTGTTTGATGTTGCTCTTCTGCTGCATACACTTGAATAGAGACACTTTCTGTCTTGTGTCATGGGGGTGAAAAAACAAAAATGCACAACCAGAGAGGCATAAGACAAATGTTCAACATTAAAAGGTTTTCTGTAAGCAGCATACATAATACATGCGTCATTGTGATTGGAAAACTGGGCTGCAATGATTCTTGGTAATGGGCTTCATTAACAGAGAAGCACTGTACTGTATGTTTGTTAGGAGGAGAGAGATGGAGACGGAGTGAAGTAATTAAGGATTGTTTTAAAGCCTGGACAGATTTTTCTTTTTTTTTTTACAGAAAACAAGTAATCTTGTTTTTGTCACACTACAAAACAATCTCAGAGTATGAATAGATGTGTGAAGATAGATTAAGTATATGTAAAATACATAGATCCCAGTTTTTTAGCAAATGATCAATAACTGTGTGGATTTAAACGTCTGGAATCAGTTTCACTTGAGTTTTTTGTGCAAAACAAGGACAGTCATTTCAAAAGCATGTCTATTGGTTGTTCCGGCCTCCTCCCTGAGATGTTTTGTTTCAGTGAAATGTATGATCACTTTCACGTACAAAGTTCTACTATTTGGGGATTTCCAATCATTCCTGTAGTTCATGTCATTATAATTACAAGAGATGAGCTTTCAATATTGAGGAGGTTTTTTTAATCTGTTAACAACAAATTCCCATGCAGTTCATATTATTGCCAGAATAGCTTTCTTCACCATAGATCTCTGCGCTGTCCTCCAGTATGATATAAAATTGCTTTTAAAGCACTGCTGCTATCTGTATATTATGGTCTATACTGTACATCACTCAATGGATAAAGGCTAGAATATGTTTTTGTCTTGCTATTAGAATTTGAGTCCTCTACTACACCCACAAAGTCATTTGAAAATGATCTGCAAAGTGTTTCCAGAGTAAAAAGAAAACAGCTAAACAACTGAACTTGATCTTAATTATAGCTAATAGTAATTAACAAAGGCTTGAGACTCTATTTTGGACGGAAAATTGATATATTCTCTGCTTAAATTTATTTAAATGTCTGTTTTAAATCTTAATTGTTTTGAATTATGCTTTTTTACACTTGATCCCTTTATGAATTTGTAATCTTTTCTTTTCTGGTTCTTTGTATTTTGATTATTTTTTATGTGAAGCAGAGTGAATTTTCCTTGTGCATGAAATATGCTACATTGTATATAAGATTTCCCTATATAGGTGTCTAAATAATCTGTGAACATGGCTTGCGCCTTGGATGTAGGACCACTGAATTATTCATGACTTACTGTAAATATGTGTTTGTGATGGAAAAAAATAGCTTGAATAATAAGAAACACATCCCTCACTTCAACAAAAGAAGACCTACATCATCATGAATTTTTAGCTTCCATTATCTACACAGAAACAAGGTCCACAGCACAGACTGTGATTTTACCACAAAGACAATGCAGTGACAAACATTAACAAATCATAATAGGTATGTACAAAGCTTAATACATACCAATGTCATGTGATCTCTTCTTGGTTTTAAATCTAAACTGTATTTCTTTGCTCGTGTAAAAAACCTGGTTGTTGAAGCCTGGCTTCCTGTTCCTTTGCGCTCCCTTGGTCTAATTTACATTTCTAATGCTACTGCTATCTTTTTGTTTTTGTTTGTGGTGTTTACAGTAAAGAAGCAGGATGGAGCAGCTGCCATGGAGATGCAGCCTCTAAAGAGTGCTGAAGGTGGAGAGTCTGACGAGAAAGAGAAGAAGAAGCGGTCTGGTTCGAAGAAAGAGAAGTCTGTGCTCCAAGGGAAGCTGACCAAACTGGCTGTCCAGATTGGCAAAGCAGGTACAGCAAAATGCACACGGACAAGTCTATCACTCAGTCAGGCAGTTAAATCAGGGACAACAAGGCACTGAGCATTCATCCTGTTCAACAGAGCAAGATGTTGCACTGATAAGACTCATTTCTTGGTCGCTTAAAGCAATCGGAGTAGTCTAGAAGAATGCTGAAGTTATTGTTATGGAACTGCAGAAGAGCCTGTTAACTTTATCTTTCTAAATGACCTTCCCTCTAGGGACTTGCTGAGTGATTGTAGTGGGAACAACTGAGAGTGCATTATGCTTGTCGTTATGCATTTTCACTTCAATCCATACCACAATCAATCAATTGCTTATTTTGCCATTTAAAGCAATTCATGCCACCAAGGAGTCGATGTCTCTGCAATTTTAGTAACAGATAGTGGCATATGCCATTTAAGCCCACTCTGTGGGTGTCCTCGCGACAGCAACATAATAGGAATACCGTTGAACAAATGATTGCGATGAATATTACATACCTAAAATACAACAAAGGAAGGGGTTTCTGGACCAGTATGGGAGAATTAGAATTATTCTACATATTCTTCAGTAAGTTTTTGCCAATGCTTTCTTTAAACAGCTGCTTTTTTTTTTTGTATTATTAAAAAGTTTAGGTTTTCTCTTTTTCTAAGAGTCCCTTAAAAAGTCTTTGTTTTTACAGTGGGCTTGTACATCGGACTCTTGGCGTGAGTGATCGAATAACGACGTGGTGTCAGAACAATTAAATACCGTGGATGGATTAGCATACAAGCAGCACCGTAGGATCGCATGGCCTTCCTGTGGGTCTGGCATAAAAATGCTTAGTCTTAAGGGTTAGGGTTAGGGTTTAGTTACACTTCAGGGTCTTAGTTACTGCAGCTTCTCTGCTCTGTACAGTATACACTCCTGGTCTGTATTTACCTTATACCGGGTGTGTTTCATTCGCTTTCAGAGAAGAAACAAAGAGCCCAGATATACTTACGGTAGATCATGAAATTTGTATAGCTTACATGACTGCATTGCCTTTACACTATGCAAGTTAATGTATCAGCCTCTATCAAAGCAGAAGGTGTCACGTGGTCTCCTATGTATGGAGAATTCAGACATGACATCCCACGAAAAACACAAGTGTAACTAATAACTTGTCAGTATCCTTTTCAAGTGAACCAGCATGATTCAAAAAGCAGCCATAACAAACGATAGTAATTAAAGGCATACTTGACAAGTCAAATCTTAAGCAATTAAGGCAACATGGTGGCTCAGTGGTTGGCGCTGTTGCCTCACAGCAACAAGGCTGTACGTTTTAATCCATCTGGGACCGTTAAAGGTTCTTCCCATGTTTTTCATAGGTTTCCTTTTATTTGTTCTGTTTTTTTCCCATACCAAAATATGTATGTTACAGGAGGAATTAGGAATCTTACTTCAGACAAATGTCCACCCTTGGATCACATAAAGTGTCACTCCACTCATACCTTTTGACATCATGTTGCTCAGCTGATAACATTCTGAATCTTTTTTTTCAGGTTTGCTCATGTCAGCCATCACAGTCATCATCCTGGTCCTGTATTTTTGTATTGACAACTTTGTGATGCAGAAGAACCCTTGGATGCCAGAGTGCACTCCCATCTACATCCAGTACTTTGTCAAGTTCTTCATCATCGGTGTGACTGTGTTAGTGGTTGCCGTGCCGGAGGGGCTGCCACTGGCTGTCACCATCTCCCTGGCCTACTCTGTCAAGGTGAGGAAGAATATTGAAAGACATACAGCGCATACTGTACATTGCAACACATTGGCACTTCTACTCGTCAAATACAGACACTTGGTCAGTGGCTCTTAGGCTTTAAACTATGACGCTCTATGTACCTCTCTAGCGTCCGTTGTGGACCCATTCGTACATGCATAGTGTCATTTCAAAATACACCTCCAGCTCCACAGGAAGTAAGGGTTTAGGCAACAAACCCACTCAGTTAGGGTTAGGAAAAGCGATGTTGACGTGAACTTGACTAACGACTCACGTGACAAAATAGGTCATGTTGACTTTTAGTTTGACACGGGACACGGACAGCGGTTTTCTGAGTCAAAGTCCTTTCTATTTGTTTGACCCATCCACCACACCTCCAGCCCACCCACGTGGATAATCTTGCACTTAATACTACGTCAGTTCCTCTAAGTGTCTAATACTGATACATGTGGGTTTACGGTGGAGTTAGTTGAAAGCTCGGTTCGTGGGGCACTGGCACATCGCGGTATATAATGTAAGAGTTTTGGAGTGAGAACGAGTTGTACACTGCTATACTTTTGCTGTAAGGGGCGGTCCATTTACACGTATACATTCAGTATACGGTAGTGTGTTCACCTATGCATCCTAAGTCAGTTCTCCATCTTTAACTACGGTGTACTGTGAAATATTCGGAGGAATTTTTATTTTGTTTTATTTGTTGTTTTGTTTCGTTTTTTTGTTATTTTTGAGGATGGGAAGTTCCCAGTTGTTTTTCAACTGTTGCTTTGAATTAAATAATCATTTTAACATACAATGTTAAAGCATAAGCATCCCTCTTTTTGTATTGAGGCCATTATAGCCAGCGAAGTTTAAGTAGTGCCTATTAAACCAATCGGTAATCCATCTAATAGTCCAATCTAATATTTTAAAGTTTTTTCAAATATGCATTCATTCATGATCATCATGTTGCCTCCTACCAACAGAAAATGATGAAAGACAACAACCTGGTGCGTCACCTGGATGCATGTGAAACGATGGGCAATGCTACAGCCATCTGTTCCGACAAGACAGGCACGCTGACCACCAACCGCATGACGGCTGTGCAGTGTTACATTGGAGATGTGCACTACAAAGAAATCCCAGAACCTGGAGCTCTGCCACCCAAATCACTGGAGTTACTGGTCAATTCCATCTCCATCAACAGCGCCTACACCACCAAGATACTGGTAAGTCACTTGTAGTGGTCGCCATTGTAGACGATACTTTAGAGCCTTTCTTTTAGGGGTTGAACATGAATGTTACTGCATCTGAACACATACACCTAAACATGTTCTTTTATTTATATTTTACAAAATAGTAACTAAGTCTATATATAGTCCGTTTACTTGTATACTGCACATCATATGTGGCACTCTCTATGAACCCGTATCGCATTATTTAAGATATTCTATTATACTAAAGCCTATTTACTTAAGTCTTAAATATCGTGGGTTAGCTGGATAGATTTCAGCTCGCTCTGTGTGAGCAGTGAAACCACATGATGAGAGCAGCCCTGGTGTAACAGTGAGACTGTTCTGCGGTGCTTTCTTCTTGGCGAAGCAGGCAGTCTGTGTCCTTGGCTGCTGCTTTAGATTCATCAGGCATTCACTCAACTTGTCACCTTGAGAACGGTTGTGTAATTTTGTCTTATCTGATATTCAGAGCATAGCAGACTTATTAATCCAATCTAGCTAAGTGCTGGAGATTGTCTCTTGTTTACAGTGATTGCAGTGAAGAATCAATAAGACCTGTATACAATATAACATAGACGGACAGACTGTTACATGTTCTAATCTCAGAATCTGAAACCTGTTTGCATAGATATTCCTTCAGTCTACAGGACTGAAACATTATTTTCATATTAATGCATTTGGCATAAATGTCCTAAAAGTAAAGATTGCCAAATTTCCAACTGGAGCTACATGCCTCAGTAATCATTTTTGCATGACCGTGATTCCTCACCTGCACATACACACACACATTTGTGGCTGTCTGTGTCACTATCCTTGTAAACCCCTTAAGAGTCGATGGCCGGCCAACTGAAAAATACCCTTCTGGAACTCGCATGGGGAATGAGCTGAGCAGGCGGGACATCTGCGATAGAAGGATCCCACAGATTTTTACTTCCTACACCTCAAGGCGCAATTACAGTCTCGGTGAAGTGTGTTGGTCACTCGGTTTTGAGATGGAAAGCGACATACTTGTGTGTGTCTTTGAAGCACAGTAGAAAAGCAATGCAGTTACTGCAGGCGCACAAGAAGCACAATGTCTCCCAGAGTGATTTTTAAAACCGTTTTATTGTCTGCTCATACAGTACGTATCTAAATATATAAAACAGAGACCAAATACCAAAAAGTGACACTGTATTTGGTTTGGACCTATAGCCTGTGTTGTAGTCAGGACAGTCCTTTTCAATTTACAAAAGTTAGAAATGTGATAGAAACAGGAAAATAACTAGTGGTGCAGTCATTTTTGCATCATATACTGTGTACAATAGTCTGAGCAGTACCTTCAAAAATACAAATTAAGGCGGTTTATATGTAAATTTGGCAAAATGTAGAATTTCTTAAAATCACGATCTGAGGAAAAAAACAATTATATTCCAAACTAACAAGCTAACTGTGAAAGTAATATATCCTTCAACACATAGTGTGCATAACACTACATGTCTAAAATGAGAACGCTTGGTTGTTACATGACAAAGACAAATATGGAAAACAAGTGAGAACAAGGCATGTGATGTTGAATTATTTTGGGTCTCTATGGGAACTGACTGTGATAAAGATGCACTCTGCAATCGCTTGATTTCATGGAGATGAGTGATTGTCCGGGTTTTTCAAAAAGGGAACACATTTTCTGAAGGTATTACATCTTGGTAAAGAAAAAAACTGAGGAAACCTCATAGTTCCATCAAGAAAACTCAATCACCATTTGAACCATGTGTCTATAGATGACATTCACAGACTTGTGATAATACGAATAATGTTTTAAACAGGACTTTACACTGTTGCTAGGTTTTTTTTTCTTGTCTTGGCTACCACTCTCATTCGACTTGTTGGATTAAATGTCACATTAAGTCTGTTCTATAATCTTTTCATTCATGAAAGAGGTTACCTCATGCACTAAAGTAGGAGTTAAACTTAGGGTGAACTTCAAAAAATGTCAGCTTACATACTTGTACTGTTTGTTACCTTCCAGCAGTAGTAATTACTGTACAATTTATCTATACCCACATACATCCAAGACTGTTCATCCATGCATATAGCCACAGAATATACTTGAATAAATATAGTGCAGAACACAAAATCTAGCACAATAATAGGTACAAAGGGAAACCAAGACAGAGAAAGACGGACATAATTAAGGAATGAAGTGAACTCAGAAAGCAGGATGCAAAAGGGACATTTCTGAGGAATATTTAGTACATCCCCTTCTCCTCCCCCAGCCGCCCCCACTCCCTCAGCGCCACTCCAGCCTTGCAGTATGCTGGCTGGTGTGTTCTTATATAAGAGGCCAATCCTGTGGGATGCCATGATGGCTATGGAAGTCTTTGATGGCCACCACACAAAGGCAAAGAGGCAGGCTTTGATACCCACATCAGTACCCCTACTGCCTCTCTGGCTTCATAATACAGCCAGTGTTATGCCTCTTCATCTTTTGTCAGCACATACCGACTCTGAAGTGAAGAACCCTCATCCTTGGGGGAGAAATTCACACACATTTACACAATGATCCATACATACAGTATAAGGACATGTACCTGCTCGTAGATACTGTATCCATGTGCACACGTACACTTATTCATATATTCTAAAAAAGGATATATGCGTGCATACAAATAAGCACACCAATTTGCCTTGCATGTCTCTTGCAGAGAAGTCAAGCATGCTACGGAGTAATTTGTGAACGGCATTCAGTGACGTCAATATACTGAGGTCATTTTTAAGGAACATGCCAGTGGCAAGAGCCTCATAGCAAAACAGCAGCTTTGTCTCTCAACTTTCCCCTCACATTCTTAGTTTTTATCCCCATTATATACAGTATGAGATGTATTACATGCTTCAATAAGAAGACTTTGTTTAAGTGAAACAATATGACAGATGTGTGCAGATGCACACATCTGTCATATCAGGCATACTCACACTGAGGTATTCAGATCACAAATGTATGTTCTCGCAACACAGTGGCATGTGTTTAGCACATGCTAAACACATGGTGTGAGTGTCCTGGGAGCTCAGTCTCATGTTGCTTCAACCACCTGCTCAGGTCATTATTCTGGTCAGGGCCAAAAGAGGTATAACACACACACACACACACATACACACACACACACACACACACCTATACTCACGAATATGGCTTCAATTTTGAGAAATAGGCACTTGGGGAAAATTACAGAAGCTCAGTATGCAATTAAGAAAATCAACTTGACAATGTTTCTGATGTTGAAACGTAGATGATAGAAAAACAAGATTCAGTTCATGTTAAATAGAAAAGAAACTCCATCTGTCGCTCAACAATGAGCATTTTATTATTCGTTATTACAACAAACTCCTTCATTTTTGTTCGGTAGTGAGTAGTGAGGTCCTGCTATAATTGGCTTTGGCTCACAGTGCTTTTGTCATCTGGACGTTGCGTGCTTGTTTGCACAACATGGAGGAGAGATGAGAGTGTCTTGGATGTCTTTAGCTTGAAGCACCCAGTGTCCCCATGGAGTAGTTTTGGACACTGAGGGAGGAGAAAGAGAACCAGTGGAAAAAAAGCAGAAACAGAGACATCTTCAGAAGAATGATGTCCTTCCCTTCTCTTGTTCTCGCTTTGTGTGTTCAGCACTTCCTCACAGATTTAACAGTGTTGCTGAGATTGCAGTGAAAGAGAAGTCGTCATCACATTGGAATGACAATGCTTTGATGTTTCAGAGACACAAAGCGAATGCATTTCCCTCTCTGTGTTTCTAGTTTTTGTCTAGTCAGTGTAAATTAAATACATAAAAGCTTTGTTGAGAGTGAGAGGTCAGTGGTAATAAATCTAATAATCTGTTAAATAAAAAATAAAAATCTAATTTATAAAATATTATATGAACGTAAAGCAATTTTGTGTTGCATTTCAGCGATCCCCAACCAGCTACACCTACAGTATGGTGACCAGACCTCAGATAATAACCATAAAGTACATTTTAAGTGTGCATCATTCAAAAGATAAATCAATCAGATTTTTGTGAAATAGTTAATTAAGGCAGAATGAAAGTTACAGGCAACTTAATCTAAATCTGTGTTTTTTCTATATCAATAGATAGGTACACAAGTGACATTTTGTCAACTCCATATGTGATCAATCAAATCTCTGAAGCAGAAGGGCAAATAAAAGTCATAACAATACATTAGGTGGAAATAAATAGAAGGGGAGGGGGGTAAATATGTAGTGAAGGGGTAAATGGAAGCAAGGATAAGTGCGAAAAATGGATGAAGGGAGATTAGAATATTATACAAGAGGACGAGCGAGAAACCACAGTGGCGTGACAAGTGTCCTCATCATGGACTGGAAGACTGTATTACTGCCCTGCAGCATGCCTCCAGGCCTTGGCCCAGTTGGCTGGTACAGTCATGTGGAGAGGAAGAATATCGTCCACTCCTACATGAAAAGAGGGAGTGAAAAGGAAGGTGGAGGCAGTCGGAGTGGGCCGCAGTAAGAGACTGGGGAAACTGATAGTGAGCAACAGGAGACAGTCATCCAGAGGGAGGAAGGATGATAGGGATAGAAGGGAATGAGAGAGGAAATAACGGCACAAAAAGTATGAAAACAGGGACCGAAATAGAAAGACACAGGAGTAAGAGGGTGGGGTTGAGTGTGAAGAGAAGGGGAAGAAAATGGAAGACAAAGGGAAGGAACAGGATGGATGGATTAAGGAGAGTCCCGGGTGGAATAGGAAGTAAAGTTGCCAGCTCTCCCTCTGGCATATGTCCTTGCCCGCGGGAGCACCTAAGGACCAAGGAGAGGGCAGCTGTTCCTTAGCCACGTCCAGGCCACGACGTGCCAACTATAGCACTGTCGTGCCAACGTTGGGCATCCCATGCCAGCAACTGTCCTTGTGCGTAGAAACTCGCGTTAAACAAAACCTCTATGGAATCTCTGAGAACAAAAAGCAGCGGTATTGCTGTTTGTCATTTATTAGTTTTCTCCCTCCCCAAATGGATTTCAATCACATGTTTGCTTATTCAAAATGTGTTTTCTAAATGTGATTTAAAATCCAGTGAACTGAAAACTGTGATATGTACCTTTTGTATAATTTTGAGGAAATAGATTTAGTTTGTTGTTTTCAAAATTAAACTTTTTTAATTGCAACAAAAGCAGCTGACAACAACTTTCAGTCAGGGTGATGAGTTGGTGCTCAAGGAGTGAATATATAAAGTATGTAATGTTTGTTCTTCCTTAAATGTTAAGCACTTAGTGCTACATTTCTTGGATGAAAGATGCTTACAAATTAAGTTGCAAATTAAGTTGCATATTATCATCAATAGGCAAATATAAAATACAAAATCAGTCTTCCAAAATGTGGGTATGAATCAGCAAAAAATATTCCAAACTCAAAATTCAAATGTAGAACACAAAATAAAAATGTGTACAAACATCATGAAGCAAAGGGAACCACATAACAAGTGGAATAACTGATACCCCTTGGACAGATAATACTCTTCTTTCAGGAAAAATATGTCTTGAAGGCTGAATATATGACTTAAAATACAAGTGTTTTGCACTTAAGTGAGTTTGATTTCTAAAATTACATTTATCATTCAATAGATTGTGGAACTGCTGAGTTACTGCTTTAGAAATAGCAGGAAAGAGAACTCTTGCAAAGCAAAAATAATGCCTAGCAACTTTTAATGTGTTTTATAAAGCAAACGACTCTTCTTTACTACAGCTTTATGTATGAATGGTCGTTTAAAACTATAATACATCCTGTATGGTTTTCAGCTGGTCATGTAGTTATTTAGTGTGATGTTTTTCCCCTGTTGCTGGGAGCTTATTCTCCCAAACACGTAGCAGACAGTGCGGATGACACCATTTGCTCCATCCTCTCATTAGCCAATGACAGGCAGTGTCTTCCTGATGTAATCATTGGACATTAGGAAAAGGCATTAATTCTGTTATTTACCACAAACTCGGAATAAAGTATTTATACTCTTGTCTGTGTCTGTGAGTCACACAGCTGAACATTAACCAGATATGTCCAATTACTAGGTGAACATGGGCCCGTACTCTGATTGGGTTTTAATGATTAATGAGATTTTAGATGGATTTTCTCTCTCACCCTCTCCGCTGGAACATCTGCCTCATAGCAGCTGCAGCAAAACGGACATGTAAAATACGGCCGAGCCAGAATGAATCAATAACCATTGTTTCTTAGGAAATTGTGGATTTTAAATATTGAGCCGCTTAAGCAAACATTGAAAGCAGATATATCCCTCACTAGACAGGTGAATTAAGCTTTGCAAAATGCAGCCAAATTAACACAGATTGCTCAGAATCATTCGATCCTATTTGCTTTATTTGATGTCAGTTTTATATTGTATAACCCCAAATCACAAATCACAATTGTTCCTCGAAGGGTTTTACAGCAAACAAGTACGACACCTTTCTTAGTCCCTCGGTTCAGTGTATAGATTGCATTTGAGTATTATTTTCTTATTTACTGCATGGAAATATATTAAAGGCTTTGGCACGTTATTAGCATTCTCTATCAAAACATCGTTAGCAGGTGGACAAGAGCAGCCGTTAGATGGAGACTGTGAGTGCACACGTTCCAACAAGCCATTAAAGTGATTAACTACACTGTTGATACCGAGTCTTTCTCAACACATTTCGCCAAGTGCTGAGTGAAGAAAACAACAAATAGAAAGTGAAATTCAAAGCATGGAAAATGTCAAGCTCTCCTTTTAAATGTAATCTTGGTTGGAGGCTTGTTGAGAAGCAGAACAGAAAGCCTGCAGTAAATCTATTTTGGGGGCAAATGGCACAGACTGAAGGTGTCTGCTTAGTGGCAAGTCAGATGCATTATGTTCAGTGTGCTTTTGACATGCTCTGCTGTTGTGTGTGTATGCGTAGGTGTGTGTGTGTGTGTGTGTTGGAGAAAGAGAGTGTACCTGACATGCTGTTCTTTAGCTGTAAGTGTAGTTGCCAAGCGTACTGAAGATGCTATATAGCGAGACCCCAGGGAGACTAGGCTTCAGCTGAGTGCCAGCTAATAGGAGTCCGAATGAACAAAAAGGACAGAGTTCTACAACACTGATTAACAACAACATACAACAACGCTTACTTGCTTTTGTTCAATTTTACAACAAATTTGATTCATGTTGCCCAAGTTGTGCTTATTTCCTTAAAAGCGTAAACAATACGTTTATCAAACGCTTGGTCAAACAACTGAAAATGAACTGAATTGTATTTGCTGCTTTTCTTTGTATATATGATGGTAAACAGAACATTTTAGGCTGATGGTTGGATGAAATAAGGTATTTGAAGAGACTGCCTTCATCATAATGTTCTGACATTTTCAAAGCAAACAATCAATCAATTAATTGAGAAAGTAATCAGCAGATTAGTCAATAGTGATAATAATCATTATTTCCTTGATTAGCATTTCTGAAGAGTGAAGTTGGTCTTTTTTGTACCCACATGTCTGTCTACAAACTAAAATGAATATCAGCTGGAGAGTGTGTGGTTATGTGAAGAGGCATGTTATGATATATGTAAAGTCACGCTATGCGCTTTATTGGTCGTATTTCTGTGTGATTGGACACATTAGAGTGAGTGAGTAAACGGAGTGAAGCGGGGGAAATACTAATAAATAAGGACTGGCAACAGATGGAAAGGGAGACACAGAAATATTGGAGCATGTGTGAAGTTTGATGAGTGAAAATCCTGTAAGAGAATCTGAGCCAATGAGTAAGAATCCCCAAGTGGCGGAGAGAGAGAGAGAGAGAGAGAGAGAGAGAGAGAGAGAGAGAGAGAG